TATATATATATATATATATATATACTGTGTATTGTTTTTCGGCACTACCTTGTTTTCTATAGCTGATGTAAGGTGAATTACTCCTGTGTGGGATCAATAAAGTTCTTATCTTAGCCATCTGAAAAGATCAAATACATTATTTTTGGTGCCTAACTGTTTCCCAAGTATATTAGTGTGTGTGTGTGAATGAATAAACGAGAGGCATTAACGTAAATTTCTTTGTAGAAAGGCACTTTATGAAATTAAGTCCATTTACTTGTATTAGTTTACAGCGCAGCCTTGCCACATCCAATATGGCGGCGACGTTGATGTACGGCTCAGCACTCGATGCAGCGTCTACGTATATATGTCTATGTGGCTTTATATGAAAAGAGGAAATGTTCGCTGTCTGCTAGGCTAATTTATACAATGTAAAATGCCATAGGCTTGTGCTAATAACATTAGCATGTTGTATTTGTTTTCAGATAAAGACAAGTCCTTTGTGACGTTATAGTAAAGCCAATTTGTGTACTTGTAATTGAAATAGTTGCTATTAAGCCATGTTTAATTCGTGTTTTAGGGGTGTTTTGAATCAACTTTACAGCACTTCTCAGAAACGTCGTCACAGACTACTGTGTGGTGAGGGGTGGTGCCTGGGTAGAGCGTGCAGGACGCAGGACTTGACAGAGATTAGCTACATAGCAGTCTTGGAGCTGTCTCTTCGGTATGGTCCCTTTTGGAACTAAAACTAAAAACCTTCAGACATGGTACCTAGACCCTAGTGTTTCCAGCACAGACAGTCCTCTTAAATGTGGGCGGGGTTGTTGTCACTCACTGCTCCGTCCAGCACTCACTGTATTTCCTCCTTTGACAGTCTGCACCTGGTTTATCGTCCACAGAATGAGGCTGCATGCCAACATTTTCAGAACAAAATAAAACAGGCTGCAATGAGAGTCTCTCTCCATGGGATATTTAAAAATAGCAGCTTTGTGCATTTAGTCCTTCTCAGGCAAGCTCAGGGGTTTAGTGTTGCTGGAGCCCACAGGAATGACTCTCTACAGCGCTTTTTGAGTGAGGATTAGAATAAATTCTGTCACAGAACACACTTGAAGATCCACTGTCTGTCATATAAAAACTAAAGCGATGGTCAAAGTTGTCACAGTGAAATTTAAGGTGTGTTGATGGATTCACATCATCAACTCATGCATTGAGTAACATTACAAGTTAACGTTCCACCTTAAAAGTCGCCGGCAGTCGGCCCAGTGAATGAAGTTATTTTTTCTCAGACTCCAGCTGCTGTGAGAGGCAGCAAAACATCCTTTCATTTTATAGTTACAGTTTACTAATAAAACTCTCCACAGTATGAACAGTGGTTACATGAACCTCAAAACCAGACACAACTCAGCCCTGAGCAGAGTGACCGTCCTCTACTGACCAATCAGACTGCAGTGTTCACAGCTCCACCTTTTAGTACCAGATCTGTGTGCTAGGTACCCCAACAGAGGGGGGACCAAACATGGGGACGGTATGGAACATTTCGTCGTGGAAACTGAAAAAAAGCGTACCCAACTGAAGAGTACGGTACTGTAGTGCTTGGTGGAAATGGGGCTTAATATCACTGTTATCAGCACTACTTCTAAAACTGCTACTGCTGTCACCACTGCAAAATATAGATCAGTATTTTTTAAACCAGTTTATGTATACAGGTTTATTGTATGCACAGTGTCAGACACCAGAAAACGCAAGTCAAAAATAAATGAGGCACACATTAATAAGATGTAAACTTAACTTAAGGACAGGAGCTCAAAAAGGCTTCATTAAGTGGATTAAGTCCACAGCATACTGAATCTTAACCTTTTTCCACTCATTTAGGAATAATGTTTGCAACATGTTTCTCTTTCCACCTTGTACATTCACATCACCTACTGTGACATTAATGCACTTTTATTCAATAAATCTGAAGGTTGTGTTCAGTAGAAAAGACATTAGTAAGCCTATACTGAAACTGGAGGAAATAGTTTTCTTTGTGGAATATTAAATCTCAGATGCAGATATAACCTAAACTAGATGCACTGGTACAGCAGATACCAGGGGAAGTCGCTGGGTACAAATTTGTATGGACTGACATATTGATGACATGAGGGTTTCTACACAGAGTGGAGCTGCATGGTGTGTGCATGAGTGCGTGTGAAACGGTGTCTTGTTCTTTGCTGGTGTGTATGGTTTCACTCCCACTCACTGGTGTTTTTGGTGCTATTCAATGCATGGCAACACATTCTGCTCTCTTACACACACACACACACACAGACTGCTGCTCTCTCACCATGTTGTTGACGCTCTGCAGCCTCCTGCAGGAGTGAAGACACATGAAGACGCCGACTGGGTTCCATGATGCTTTTTGCTCGCCTCGTCTGTAATGACAGAATAAAACCAGGTTACTTTGACACATCAGGCCACTGTGAGACTTTTAATGTAGAATCAGTTCTGTTTGTCCGTGATTAAAGCTCCTACCTGACAACTGCAAGTTCTGTCAAATATTTTTAAATCAAATTCTTTATTCTATACTCACATTTTATGTTATATAATAATTTAAGTTAGTTATTCAGTAAAAAGGCCAGATAATCTGACGGGATGGATGTGGTGCGTGCCTGAAGGAGCAGTCAAACCAACAGTCCTGTTTCAGGGTTTTTAGTGTCCTGAGATGCTCATGGAAGATGTTTCAGATGTTTCAGTGCACCTTAATAAGAAGAACACTCCTTATGGTGTCAAAAGGGTCAAATATTTAACAATAGCAGCTGCCAAAAATCCCATATCAGTTAAATCATTCAACTAAATCCCCTCACATGTCAGAGACAGTTTAATATCTGGTTTAGGAAAATATGCATCTGTGTATTTTGTTTAAGATCCTCATCAATTTCTTGCTTGATGAGGATCATAAAAACAACACACTTACAGCAGACATGATTTGTCCCTGTTTGCTTGAGATTGGTTCACTGCAGCCTCCTCGCTCCTCTTTTGATGTTTTAATCTGTTCTCAGCTCCAGGCTCCCTCTGTCTCCCTCACACTGCTGTTTGTTTGTTGCTGGTGACGGTGATGAGAAACGATGATTCATGTTGCATTCAGCCCTGCTTCTTTAGTCCCCGCAGCTGACGCGATTCAACCACTAGGGGGCGTCAGTCCGCCACATCACCTCCACATATTTACCTGTAAGCAACCTGGTGGTGGTGAAACATGGGGTTGTTTGATTGAATTGATGTTGCAGGACAGAGGAAGTGAGTCAGACTGATAAATGAGAAAAGAAACTACAAAATGAATGTGTGTTCTTGTAATTTACTCCCTCGCTTATAGTATAATTATTCAGATTTATTCAGCAGAGGGGGCAGATATTGTCCCAGGCAGCTACAGCTGGGAAGATTTTTATAGTTAAATCTAAAATACACTGCTGGTAGGCAGCTGCACTGTATGTAATCCCTCTTCGTGGGTTTTGTGATTTAAAATCAACATATTTATTTATTGTTTTGCCTCTGCTGCAGAAATATACTCCACAAAATGTACAAATCAACCATCAATATGAAAGTCTGGAGCTTTATTTCCATCTTCTAATTGGCTTAAGATGGAGACACACTGTGTATTTTACTCTATGGGATAAAGGTTTCCAGTAAGCTTAGTTCATTTCACTTGGAAATCTCTGGAGCCTCATATGGTGCTCTGCTCGGTAAGCCTCTTAGGAATCACGACCACAGCAGATGTAGAGAGAATGCCAATCAGGAGCTCCTGCTGAGCGGAGAAACCCGACGGCTGTGCCACTGCGCGCTTCAAATCTCTGCCACGGTTCACACGAAACACAGCGAAATATCTTTTGGCGCTTCATGTTTGCAGTTTCAAAACTAAAACAGCACAAACACGTGAGCTGTCAAGAAGATGGAGCGCGCTGGGAGTCTCCAACCACTCTAAACCGCCAGACAACAACAAAACAAATCCTTCCTTATCCGAAGGCAGAGCCATGCTTCCTCAGGATGTCGGGAAACAGAAGCCACGCCGTGTGTCAGAGCCGGTGTGCGGGGTAGACAGTCCCCCGGCCCCAGTTCGGCGCCTGAAGAACCGGGATTTCCCCCTGAGCGTGAAGCGCCGTCGGTCCGGCTCCGCACCTGAGCGCAAGGTAAACTGCGTCCTGGTTGGAGACGGAGCGGTAGGCAAGACCAGCCTCATCGTCAGCTACACCACCAACGGATACCCGACAGAATATGTTCCAACAGCGTTTGACAACTTTACCGGTAATGTCTGACATTAATTCATTTTGAGCGTTACGCACAAGTTTACGCACACCTGAAAGTGAACAGGCTTTTTGTCCACTTTGTCTCCTTTAAGTCGGCTACATGCCATGTTTTCCATTTTTAAAGTCTGTACACAGTATCCGTGTCCGACTTTATTTACCTCATATTAAGATTAAAACCTTTGAACACATATACAAGTGTCTTCTTTATCCTCTCAGTGATGGTTGTGGTTGACGGGAAACCAGTGAGACTGCAGCTTTGTGACATGGCTGGACAGGTGAGCTGCACCTCCTCTCTCCCACAGTTTGAATCATAAATACATAATCTAACATTTAACATACATATAACATACAGGTGCATGCACTATAGGCTTCCGTAGTGGAGTTCTAAAAATTCTGCCACACTTCTTTTTGCATTTCTTCCTCGATAGAAATGGGGGCTGGTTGACGGATCAATCAATGTAAGTCATCAGTGATCAATAAGTATTTGTCAGTAATTGTTGTTGCTTTTAAACATTTGGTGTGTTTGTGTTGGTTGCCCCCTGCAGCCTGCTTTTAGTCCTGACCCGAAATCCTTTAAGACCCCTTTGAGTTTAAGTTGCCCCCCAGTGACAAACAGTCCTGTAACTCCACAGCTTACATCGCCCCCTGCAGGAGTGACCCGAGCTTGTAGAGTATAAGTTTTCCCCCCTCTGTCACCCTGTGCTCCATCGCCCTCTTTTGGTAGAGTGATTTTTCTTCTTCCATTATCCAACCTTTCCCTTTAGGAGCTTCACTTGAACAATCTGAAAAAGAGCTGGAGAACAAAACTGAAAGAAATCTACAACTAGTCTGTCTTTTGCACGATTAAGTCAAGTTAAAGGGTCGATTCATCTAAACTATGGCAACAGCTCTTTCTCTCTGTGGAAGAAAGTAGACCTGCTAAAGAAATGGTGAGATATCTCAGTAACGGAGTCGAACCTGAGCCAGTTAAACCAAAACCATGTGCACGGCCAGATGCCAAATAGGTGTAAGGGAGAATTTTGGGGGAAATTGGATGAACCCACCCTTAAAAAATGTAGCTGGCTCTCTTTTGATACACCATGTGAACTTGTGAATTGTCAGAAAACCTTAGTAGTTTCCATTAGATCCACCCTGAAGTAGTGAGGATGTCAGTAAGGTGTTAAAGCATGGAGTTGATGGTAGTCTATAATTTTCTCACTGTCAGCGAGTCTCATGAGAAAGACCTAATCCAACAATGAATGTGTGTGCTAAGAAGCACTCTGTGTATATCCAACAGATTCTCACTCTGACCTCGTCACACATTGACTTTTGGTCGTAGACTTTCCACATCCACATACGACGTGCAAGGTACACTGGGTGCGTTGGTTGTTGACGCTCTGGGACTGCTGATGTGTCAAGTTCAGCCTGTTACATTCATCGTCTTCTTTCAAAATACACTTCCTTTTTCACAGGAAATTTAACATTCACATACAGTCTCTTTCAGGATAAACTCACTACGTCGGTACAACACCACAAGTTGCCATCTTTTTTTCCTTCAACAACAAACACAAATGGTTGGGTTTAGGAAAAAAGAAAAGGGTTTGGCTTTAGAATCTTACGGCACCTGAACACAGCTCTCTCAGGTGAAAGCTTGCCGCCTTAATGGAGCAATCGGCTCCGTATCATGCCGATATTAAAGGACGCCTATTTTCTTTGGTGTTACAAGACACCTAACGTTATGCCTGACTCGTTGCCTGACACGCTGGTAACTGTAACCTTTAACTAAGCTTCTTTATTTCCCTGCGGTGTGCAGTTGGACTTGAACGTATGCCTCACTTACCTAATGTGTGTAGATCTCTGAGCTGTCTTGGGGGTAAATGGGTTACTCACCCTCCATCAGACCCGACCGCTACTGTAGGCGGCCACCCCAACCCGACGCTTCGGGCGTCCCCTCCGGTCGACGGTCAGGCTGGGCCAGCACAAGCAGCGTTGTTGTGATTTTAGTTCATAGGGGGGGTTGAACGCGACCCCAGATCAGGTGAGGTGTGTAGTGGCGTTCCCGGATCGGTGGATTTTGTCTCCAGATTTCTGAATGTCTGTCTGAATCTTCTGCAGAAATGTGGCGTGGCAGTCTGTCGGCGTCTCCAGCAGCCAGCCTCGACTCCCATCAGCCACCGCCTTTTCAGGTGTGTGAGCTCCTAGGAAGAAGAGTTACCCAATACCCCAAGTGGAACATCGGCCTCTCCCTGCTTCCTAACTCCACCCCTAACCGTACACCTATGCCTCCTAATTATGTGCCATAACATTTGGTCTCTGACACCGCAAGTCACTGCCCAAGGGCCGGATTTTGACGACTTCAACGATTAGGGTTCTTCAAAGCTTATTTAGGCCAAGGACCCCTTAGCTGGAAGAGAAACAGAGCAGGGACCCCTGACATTTAAAACTGAATTGCACTTAAAATAAGTTTTGGAATACTTTCGGGTCCTCTCTCGTTTGAGCTTGCCTGTAGCTGCTAAGTCAGCAGCAGTTGTAGCATGGCTAATTGCGTTAGCCTCTGCACATCTGCTGGCAGTTCCTGAGCTATATGCTGTGCCAGAGCCTTTGCTTGAAAAGTTACAAAACGATCCATTGCAGCTCACAAGAACGTCCGTACACTTGGAATAATAGCACGGGTAATTGGCGAGTAAGTTTCAATAGTATGTAAGGATTCATGGGTAATGGTTAGCCTAGCATTATAGTTGTGCACCGCAAATTATGTTTTTGATGGATCCCTGATGTATATGTTGGATTTATATAAAGATGTATTTTCAGACATATTTTAATGTTTGATGTTCGCGGATCCTCTGGCACTAGAACACCAAATGTGGATTGATCTGTCTCTGAAATCAGTCCTCAACAAATGCACTATTTCCTCTTGTTTCAGTGGCTTTTGATAAAATCTACAGCGACCAGCTACTTTCGGAAATAACTAAGATTTTTTTAAATGAAACTAAACACAGGTTAGAGAGGTCAGTAAGTATTGAGCGACACTAACACATTGTCGGTTTTGGTCTTTTCATGGTCTTTTTGACAGTAAGAAAGTATGAAATGATGCCAGCCTTATTCTGTGATTTGTAAAGTTTATTGTAACCTGACCTCTCTGTTTGTGGCTCCGCCTCATGAAGGACGAGCTGGAGCGCCTCCGCCCTCTGTGCTACAAGAACGCCGATGTCTTCCTCCTCTGCTACAGCATTGTGCGTCCCTGCTCTTTCCGCAACCTGATCGACAAGTGGGTTCCGGAGATCCGTCAGCACTGTCCCGACACACCCCTTGTTCTTGTTGGCACCCAGCTGGACCTGAGGGAGGACGTCCAGGTGCTGATTCACCTGGCACAGAACCACGAGCAGCCGGTGTGCACCGAGGAGGGCCAGCAGCTCGCTCAGGAGCTTGGGGTGGTGAGCTTTGCCGAGTGCTCGGCACTGACCCAGAAGAACCTGAAGGATGCTTTTGATTCAGCTATCTTGGCCAGCATCCAGCAGACAGACAGTTGTAGCGTCCAGCAGCAGAGGCTGACTCTGAGGAGGAAGACCCCTGATACTATCAAGAGCCTCTCGGAGACCTGGTGGAGGAAGATCAACTGTCTGATGGGAGAGCAGAGCTGTGACTTCAAGTGAACAGCTGCATAGTTACAAACCTGGGTCAGATCATGTTTGCAGATACTTGTTAGATCTGGTTTGTTTCAGCCTGCTGGCAGAAGGTGCCAGATGGGTGGGGATTATCACCACTAGGTGACTCACAAGGTGCCAGTTCAAATCCTCACGCTGGCAGGGAAAGGACTGATGGAGGAGAACTACAAAGCCTGTGCAAACAGCTGTAAAATGTCTTCTGAGGCTTCATAGAAGCTTTTGAAAGACTAACAGCTGCTCACTTGTGCAAGACTTTAAATGCACAGCAGAAAGTCTTGGTTACAAACTAGGAGTATAGAGCAGGGAGGCAGGGAGGGTCTGAGGAGAGATACTACTGCGCTGCATTTTAGGTGTAGCATCCAGAGGTTTTTTAGCCTAACTGATGAGAAAAAAGTCAGGATGTCTCACCCTCTATGGCTTTGATATTTAGTATGCTCTGTTTCTATAACAAGTCCTTGAACTTTAAAGTCCAGTGTAGGATTTAGGGGGATATATTGGCAGAAATAGAATTTAATATAACAAGTATGTTTTCTTTAGTGTTTAATCACCTGAAAATAAGAATTGTTGTGTTTTCATCATTAGAATGAGCTGTAGCCTCATCTACAGAGATTGCAATGTTGCATCACAATGTTTCTACAGTAGCTCAGTATGGACAAACCAAACACTGGCTCCAAATAGGGCCATTCACATTTTAGCATCTATGACTAGAGTGTCGGGAAACAACAGTTCTTTTAAATGTAACACTGGTGGTGGTGCAGTGGTTAGCATTGTCGCCTCACAGCAAGAGGGTCCCTGGTTCAAACCTGGGGCAGGGGAGGCCTTCTATGCAGAGACTCCATGTTCTCCTCGGGTTAGCGTGGGTTTCCTCCAGGTGCTCCTGCTTCCTCCCGCAGTCCAAAGACATGCAGGTTAATTGGTGACTCTAAATTGTCCGTAGGTGTGAATGGTTGTCTGTCTCTATGTGTCAGCCCTGTGATAGTCTGGTGACCTGTCCAGGGTGAACCCTTCCTCTCGCCCAGTGTCAGCTGGGATAGGCTCCAGCCTTTTTACTGGTCACCTGGTCCATTTGTGGAGAGGAGGAGACCTTGGTGGTTAATTTGACTCCTCCTGAATGTCTGGAAGTTATCAGAGAAAAAATGTGAGCAGGTGCTAGGTTATCGACCCGGCCCAAACAGTGTCAGATAAACACTGACTTGTAACATGAAACTGCTTTATTCAGTGTTTTTACTGATGTAAATTTGTGCTGATGTGCATAACCCCACCCGTCTGAGGCTCACAGGAGGTTAAAACAAACCCCACAAATGTTATCAGACCCAGGTTTGGTTTGAAGCAATGAGTCTGATTGTCCAACATGCTGATGGAGATCTCAACTTTTGTTCTGTTTCTCTTTTTCTGACTCATTGTATTGTCACATTACACCCCAACATTACTCGTTCTTTGTTTTTACTGTTAGTTTGTAGCTTATTTATTATTTCTGTATTTATTTGTGGTTATTTTTATTGCCATTACTGATCATGGAATATGCTCAGAAGCCTTGATTAAAGTTTATAACAACTGCACACTGTACCATTTCTTTAACAAATTTTAAATTTTAGTAAGACATTTGCAGCAAAGTTTCAGTGGGTGTGATTTAGGGAACTTGTGTTTATTTGTAAGAAATATTACATGGAAACACTCAGGCAGCATTCGCTTGACTCGTCAGTGCACTTCTCCTACAACTTCTGCTCTTTATCCTTCGCCAGACAAAAACAGGACATGTTGGAGAGTTAATAGGGATTAAGTGCCGTTGATTGTCTCATCAGCTCTCTGATCCTCGTGACAAACTACTGACCCCGTCAGATTTACATGGACTTGCGTGCATAAAAACCCATCCCTACCTCAGAAACAGTTTTTGAGTCAGGTGGTCAGAGGCAGAGCGTCTCCTGGCTGATTTTCCTGTGAACTCAGGATCCGCAGAGTTTCACCACTCTGCTCGGCTTTCCTCTGTGATTCAGAGTCGCTTTTCTGGTCCTCTAATAGGAGCAGACAGGACCACCTGGGCTGGATTAGACCAGCATATGGAGCCTGATTCTCTCCCCACAGACGCCTCACACCTTGAAAAGGGAAGGAGAGGCAGATTCCTCCACCTTCAATGGTGTAGTTAGTTCTTATATGCAACCTGTAAGTAAGGACATTTTATTTATATAGCTTTATGGACTGAAAAATAAATAACCACAGAGACACAAAAAGACCACAAAGGGATGTAAAGAACTGCAATGAGACACAAAATAACAACAAAATAAGGCAAAGCAAGGCAGATTTATTTGTATTGCAAAAAAAATTCAGCATTAAAAATATGGTGCAAAGATAAAAAGATTATTTAAAATGATTTAAAACTGAGTTTGAAAATAAGGTTGCAGTCATGACAGTGAGGAGTAGGCAGTGCAAAAAAAGTAATGTTTTGACTTTGACGCAAAATGACCCCAAAGACACAAAATGACCCCAAAGAGACAAAAATTACATCAGTAAGACACAAAATGACCTCAGAGACACATGACTGCAAAGGGCACAAAAAGACTTCAAAGAGATACAAAACAACCACGAAAGGCACAAAATGACCTCAGAGACAAAAAACGACCTGAGAGACACAAAACAACCACAAAAGGCACAAAATGACCTCAAAGAGACAAAAAAATACATTAGTAAGACACAAAATGACCATAATCAGATACAAAATGACCTGAGAGACACAAAACAACCACAAAAGGCACAAAATGAACCTCAAAGACACAAAAATTACATTAGTAAGACACAAGATGACCATAATCAGATACAAAACGACCTCAAAGAGATAAAAAAAAATTACATTAGTAAAACACAAAATGACCTGAGAGACACCTAACAACTGCAAAGGGCACAAAAAGACTTCAAAGAGAAACAAAATGACCTAAGACATAAACATTACATCAGTAAAACACACAATGACCTCAAAGAGACACAAAATGACCTTAGAGACACAAAAAGACCCCAAAGACACACAAGACAACTACAAATAGACACAAACTGACCCAAAAGACAATACCTGAGACACTTTGAAAAGGTTACAGGTAGCAAACTGTGATAGAGCCGTACTTATGGCTTTCAGTGTGTTATATAAAAAATACACTGTATATACTGTGAAATATTTTGCGTCCCTGTCTGTTTTGACATGACTGGCTGTCTCTGCCAGGGCAGCTGTGATGTGATAGGCTGATTTCTTTAAAGAGTTTTATTACATTGAAATCTAAAATAACATTTCGCATACCAAGTCAAATCCTGAGCATGTGTAATGTACGAGGGGTGACTGAAAAGTCTGGGCATCTCACAGGAGCATGCAGATCGTATTCTGATGAATGAGCTTGGCTTCTCAAAAGTTTACGCTCTGTGGGTCCCACGTCTTGTGACTCTTGCACAGGAGTTCGTTTCCACTGGGATAAAGGGGGATTTTACTGAAAAATAAAAGCACTGTATCTTGTTTTGTTTCCTTGAGGCTCAAAACTTTTCAGTCACCCCTCGTAGCTACGAGTACAGGTACAAATAAAGTTAGCATTCCACATAATATTAGACTCGCTGAATTGACCCTTCGCTAAGTCCCGCCCACGGATGCAGACTGGCCAATCATAACATAGCATCTGGCCGGCTCAGACCAGGGTACGAAACACAGTAGTGTCAGATTTCCTTCATTTTCAGGCTGGTTTTGTGGATTTGGAGTTAAATGTTGTGCCTGGGGCTCGTCGTGTATTAATGATACTCGTTATCTGGAGAGGTTGGAAAAAGATATACATTTCTTCCCTGTTCCAAAACCAAAATCAGACCCTGTAAAGTGTAGGGTTAGCTAGCTAGCTACTGAAGATATAGCCTACTGAATGTATACACATGCTGCTTTTGCTTTTTAATGATTATAACAGTGAAACAAAGAGTGACCCTGCTGTACAGGAACCAGTGAAGGGAAGCAGGGAAACTTTGCTGATATCCAACCAGCTGTGTGTCATATGATCCCTGCCCTTCCACCAGCAGAGGTCCTGGTGCTGGCAGAGACACGGGGGTGAAGCCAAACACTGTTCATGTGCACACACTGTGATGCCACACAGCTGGTTCAATATCAGCAAAGTTTCCCTTTATATTCATTGTCATGTGTGGCGATCAGCAGTGATGTGGTGGTTCACTTTTACACTGTGATCTGTAGCCTATAGTTCGGCTTTAGCTTCTAACTATCTTTGTCTTTTTAACCTGTTGTTGCTGCTGAGTCAGTTTGTTAGTGACAGTGTGGGCTCCATGCTTACTCTGACAGCTTGTCGGACCATCACAAAGGGGCGGGGCTTAGCGAAAGCTCAGTTGCTGCTATTAACCAAACCAGTGTCACTTTACCTTGTAACATTGTCTTTAATTATTTGTTTAGTTTTTATTTTTACTTCTATTGTTCTACTAGTTGTGTATAGCATTTATTTTATTCTATTTTTAACTTTCCTTATTATCTGCACTCATTTCTGTCTTTATGCCGCTGCAGGACCTGAGTTTCCCCTCTGGAGCTCAATAAGTACGTATCTCAGTATCTCATCTCATCATCTGCTACTGAAATCTGAAAACTCATCAGTGGAGATTAATTAGAGTTCTTCTTTTGAGGCCCTGCAGCAGCATCAAACCTGGCTGACCTTCACACCAGTTCTTCCTCCTCCTTTGTGTCTTCTGTCTCTGCTGCAGACTTGATTCGGACCAACTGATGGGGGGAGACGACAAGATGTGAGATGTCAAAGGCATCATTAATGGAAATTGGAAGGAATTTGGGCATTTGCAGCAAATGTGGTTGGAAAATGTGTGAAGGTAAATGTACATCGGTGGTTTCTATAAAGGATGATGATATCATTCAGTCATGTGTAAACTTTTCTTGATGATCTCATAAACAAACAACAAATCGAACCCTTTGGTACAGTAGGTTCTGTCACTGTGGCCAAATCTCTGTCTCACCTCCAGAGTCTCTTTGGGTTCATTTGGTTCATTGGTGGAGCTCAGAGTTTTCTTCTTCCTGAATTGAATCCAACAGCAAATATATGAATAAATAAAGTTTATTTTGAACTTCAAAAACATGAAAGTCAATATTGAGAGTAAGAGATCAGTGATGATTATTTCTCAGAATTTCACCTGATCCACAGACAAAAAAGAAGCAGTAGAATCAACATGACAACCAGAGTTAAACTGATGATCGTTATGATCATTGTTGATTTATCTAGAAACAGAGACAGACAGTCATGAGATATACATCATTGTACCTTACCAGAGGGATTTGATTCATTAATTAGATTCTGTCTGTTAACCAGCCATTAATGAGTGTCATGGACAAACTAACCTGCCACAACAGTCATTTGTAAGGTGGAGTTATGACGTCCTCTTGTGTTCTGGGCTTCACAGTAATAATTCCCACTGTGTTCAGCTCTGACGTTAGAGATGGTGAAGATCTGTCCTGATGCTTTTGGTGAGTCTTCATTCTCCTTGTACCAGGTATAGTTAGCTGCTGGGTTAGCATCACTGCTACAGGTCAGAGTCACTGAACTGCCCTCCACTATCTCAGCAGAGGGACTCACTGACACAGAGGGAAGCTTTGGAGCATCTGGAGGAGATTTACACAGACCTGTGTCATTCAGGCTTGAGCAGTATCATGGTGTTACAGTATATCAGGGTATTTAGAAATCCCAAATGTAGGACTTTCAGTACTATCAAAAATACAGATGTTCCTCTTTCTATTAAACTCATACAGAGATGCTGTATTAAGGTGATGTATTAATAATCAGGTGAATCAGGTGATATTGATAGTGCACAGCATGCGTGATTTACCTATTTGTACTCACACTGAACATCTACTGATAGAGATGACCTGTTCTGTCCATGCTGATTCTTAGACGTGCAGTAGTAGATTCCTCTGTCCTCAGAGCGGATGGACTTGAAATAGTAATTTCCCTCTGGTCCCTGAAATATTGTGTGGTTCTCCTTGTACCAGGTGTATTTAGCTGCTGGGTTAGCATCACTGCTACAGGTCAGAGTCACTGAACTGCCCTCCACTATCTCAGCAGAGGGACTCACTGACACAGAGGGAAGCTTTGGAGCATCTGGAGGAGAAATGAGAGACAACGTATCAATCTTTTTTTTTCCCCAGAAATAGACGGCCATGATCCCGAAAGAGCAGCACAATTATTTTTATATTACTTATGTTATCAACCTACTTTAGAACCAGGCTACTTTAACCACTAACAGACATGCACATCAATCTTAGTCACACATTGTGTCATGAACTGGCTCAGTGTTAAGACAAACAGGGGAGACCACACAAGTTATTCTGGTTAAAGTACATTTATTTAACCAATTTTAAGCACTACTAAAAAATAAGGTGAAAACTGTAAATCAGTATTATCAGTGATGTAGGGAGTGCTTGGGTGGAATGAATGTGTGGTGTAGGTGAGTGTGAAGGAAACCAAATCAAACTGACATGACAAAACAACCCAAAACCCCTCTTAGCCAGGAGCAGAGAGAGACTGGAACGGATACATCCAGCCCTCTATATAGACCCAGTGGCTTAATGAGCAAAACTGGATTCAGGTGTGGCTCATCCACCAGCCACACCTCTGCACGCTGGCCCGCCTCCTGCAGGGGAGTAGAAAAAAGGACACCGCAGGAACAACCACCAAAGAGGGACTCAAACTCTTCTCATATTGTGTAATAATAATAAACATTATTTCTCCAGCCTGTGAAGCAAAGTGCAGCTGGAACTTCAAATTTTGGCAAGTGTATTGCAATTTTTGCGGCTTTGAGGCGCTGCGTGTAATTAATGTGTGGTTGTCACAGCATAGGTGACATTAAAGGAAATGGCCACATTAGAATGAAAATACACACAGTACTTACTGACCCTCATGCTGACAAGATGTCCAGTGTAGTTTTTAATCCACAAAACTCGTTTGGGGTATCAGAGGATAACAGCTAGCCGGATTTTTCCATACACTTGACGTGCATGGAACCCACATTTTGAAAATGTAATAAAACTCTGCTAATGCATTTCAAAGACATCAGAACGGCTCGTCTGTCATAATCCAAGTGCCCTGAAGCCGCGGCATGCAAAATTGACTTTACTCCACTTTTATTTGTCTCGTGAGTTGCCATATAAACACGCAAGACTCGAGAACGTTCAGAGACGTTCTTGTTCTCGAGTCTTGCAAGTTGCCATATAAACACAGCAGGTCTGCAGGGCAGGCTAACTGACCACGGTGAGAAATGACGTTATAAAAGTGCAGTAAAGTCAATTTTACATGCCGCGGCTTCAGGGCACTTGGATTACGACGGACGAGCCGTTCTGATGTTTTTGAAATGCATTAGCAGAGTTTTATTACATTTTCAAAATGTGGGTTCCATGCACTTTCCTTTAAATCCAACAACAGTGTCAAACTTGGCCAGTGAGGTGACTGACCTGTGGTTTTCTACACAAATATTTTAAGCTTTACAGAAGAGTAGCTGATGTATATTTACATCAACTAATGGGGATCCTAATCAATACATATATAAATATTGCAACAAAGCTGGGGTCAAGCCAGTAAAAGTTGAATGCTGAGAAGGATTCAGAGTGTTGACTGAAAAGGAGTAAATGTGGTGGCTGGATAAATCAAATCGCTGTGGTGAGTCTGGTCAGAACTCAGTGTTTGCCTTTACAGATAGTCGTCCAATAATCAGGCCTTATTCCAGTTAAGAGTTTCTTTATTCACTGTAACAGCTGATGGAACTTGTGGTTTCTGAAAACCATAAACAGGATGTACAAAAATAATAAGAATACATTCACCGAAATACACAATGCACATGTAACTCTTCTTGCATTATCAAATACCTATTATCCATCTATACATTTTGAACGTATGTACTGCATACCTTTAACATCAGTATTATATGGAAAATGCACTCTATAAAATCAAATAGCCTACTTACACTTAACAGAAATGCACAACTTAAACTTTGAAGGCCCAGGCTAATTACACTTTAATATATGTGGGAACAGACTACTTAGGAGTTTGATGGACGCACAAGTTACCCTTGCCTTAATCCTAGACTATAAACACTGGCAGCACACTATTAACTTTTCTTCTATTTGAACACAGCGCTCTCCATACTGCAAGCCGTCTCCTACGGAATTGCGAGATAGAATCCGGAGGCGCACCCTTAGCTAGCCACAGATTGGCTACTCAGTCCCCACAGTCTTAGTTAAAGCCACAGACAGTCTTTTCAGTTTCCAACACCTGTATTAAAAATAACTAACAAGTTTCATGATGATCAGAGACTCATACATTTCCGACCAATTCTGTGTCATGCCACGCCCTTAAGCAGAAACGCAACACTGTCACCCCGTATTGGTCAGTTTCTAAAAACCTTTGGGAATATGACTCAACAGATTTATTAAAAATATCCACTACATCTGGTGATGTTTGGACTTACTGTCATGGATTTATGGCCAAACTTTTGCCAGGCCAGTGCACTTATTGGGAACTGGTGGCCCTTTAGGCTTGAGCCCCTAAATACAGTGCATTTGTAGTACTGTATAGTGGCCACCATCAGGATGAATCCCAAATTAAAGTTGTCTGTTTATTTTAAATTCAAGCAACTGTCCAAATTTATTACAGGGACATTTTTTAATTACTATATGAATGTTGTATTGTTTTCATGTGTATATTCTTTGGAGGAGAGCCTTATTCACTTCATTTAATGAACGTTCATGTTGGGAGCTAGCTGTATCTCCATTTTGCCACAAGGGGGCAGTGCCTCCCCAGTGAGACAGGCTTGGTAGAGCTTTTTTACGGAAGACGAGAACGGCCATGTATTTTTTTTTTTGTGCACTGTTATCTCGTGATAACGACTTATTATTTCGTTATCTCGATATAACAAAGATTGTTTTCCCGTGATAATTGTCAAGTCTGATGATTGCGCACTGGTTATTGTGATCAGATGTTGCGCTAGACTTTTTCTTTGCCAGTCATTTTGACTGACAGGGTCATAAAAATCCGGTCATAATCTATTTTTACCGGTCATTTTAATTTTCATTTATAAATGATAATAAAGATATTCAGTTTTCACACATTTCATCAGACATTTAGTTTTCATTTGTTCATTTTTAATAAATCCAACAAGCAAGTTATAAAGTGTGCATTAATAAGGACATGAACGAAAAGATGAACAGACATCCACACACCGTGCCATCAGGCTTCGCTCTGGACACACCGGACGGCACTAACGTGTCACTAACGCGTCTGGTGTGTCCAGGGCGTTAAGTAGTTACGCCTGTAGGCTCGGTGACACAAAATTAAAATTGTAATGAAGTGATTATGGTATTGAAAAATGTGTTCGGTTATGCACTGTTGTGTTATTTTAAATCATAAACACGGTATTTTCTCCCCACGTTCCTCAGTGCGTGCCGTTATTATTTTATTTTGAAACAAATAATTATTATTATAATAATAATAATAATAATAATGATAATAATAATAATAATAATAATAATAATAATAATAATAATAATAATAAGCTACTGTGGACCTATATGCCATGCCTTTTAATAAAATTACCAGAGGAGTTCGCTGAAAAGCAGGTCCACAGTGGCTCATTATTATTATTACTGTTATTATTATTATTATTATAATTATCATTGGGTCTTATAAGAGTGGGCTACAATGAGTACCGGCCCATCAAATCACAGCAACCGCGGTGAGAGGACACGGAATTGTGCGTGCTTTTATGCACGCAGGTGTAGGTGATCACGGATATTTGATGTGGGAAAGATGTAGCCAGATTTATTTCCTGTTTTAGATACGTGGCCGTCCGTCCGTTGCATGAGTCATGTGCGCCACTTCACCACCGACCCGTGCGTAAAAGAGCAAATGGTCCCTCAAGGAGGGACAGCCCTGCAGGCAGGGAGAGAGCAACCCTCACGAGCTTCTCTCTCCCTGAATGAGGAAATAATTGCCCTGGCATTTAATACGCAAAATGGGGTCAAACCCCCGGCGGCTATTTGCCACTGGGCGACTATTTGGAAATATACGGTATGTGACAAAAATCATATGTGTATAATAACAGTTGAAGTGTGACTAATGATAACAGCAGCAGCAGGAGGCATCTAGCAGGACCACGGCAGCTCTTGTAGGCTGAAATCAAGACGATCACATTAACCAGTGCGCAATCATCAGACTTGACAATTATCACGGGTAAACAATCTTTGTTATATCAAGATAATGAGATGATTAATTCGTAGATCGGTATGTCGAGATAACGAAATAATTTATTTGTTATCACGAGATAACAGTGCACAAAAAAAAAAGAAATACCTGGCCGTTCTCGTTTTCCGTACTTTTTAGATTTTTTTGTTTTTATTTTTTGAGCATGTTGAATTGACAGAAAGTATTGCCTGAAGCTGTTGTTAAAAGCAATAAACCATGGTTTTCTACACATGAATTTACATTTATATTAATAAAATTAATCACTGGTATGTTGTGTGAGGCTTTGTTTTTTAATGCATGCTACTTACCTGGAGACCAAACAACACATTCCTCTGAAGCAAAGACATTTTATAAATCCACGGTCTGCCTCATAGTAAAAATAATAAGTCATAAGTATTAATATTTTCTGTACTTACACTGGACATCTATAAATCGACGTTGAGACTTCATCTCTCCATATTGATTCTCAGACTTGCAGTAGTAGAACCCTCTGTCCTCAGAGTGGATGGAGGTGAAATGATAAATGCCGTCTTGACCATGATGCAGTGTTTGGTCCTCCTTGTGCCAGGAGATGAAATGATAAATGCCGTCTTGACCATGATGCAGTGTTTGGTCCTCCTTGTACCAGGTGAGAGTAGGTGGTGGGTCACCATCACTGCTACAGGTCAGAGTCACTGATCTGCCCTCCACTATCTCACCAGAGGGACTCACTGACACAGAGATTTGCCATGGAGCATCTGGAGGAGAAAATATGAAAAGAAATCAAGTTTAATAAGAAAATGAAGTATCACTGTGTGTGTGTGTGTGTGTGTGTGTGTGTGTGTGTGTAACAAGCAATGTACTACTACTTGTGTGTGAAAGGCAGACGGACACTTTCAAATCTTACCCATGTTGGCTTCAATTAGTTTGCTGCTTTTAAATGAGCTCTTTCACTCACGTTTCACATTGATAGAGATGGATTCAGATGTAGATGTCCCCAGCTCATTTTGAGCTGTGCAGTAATATCGTCCA